TTATAGGTTATTAGTGTATGAGCCAGTACGTCATCGATCAGTCAAGGTCTACGCTCGCGTCAAGACTGGGCACAGGTCCAGGGACAGGGCGTGACAACTTTGGCTGACTTGATCTGATTGGGCAGGAATACAGTCTCAACCCACGGGTGGATCCTCCATCTCCGTGCTGAGAAAAGGCGTTCAGGTAAGACAACGCCCCCTCTCTTGTCCCTCCCCCCTCCAACAATATGGATACCACTCTTGATGAGCCAAGAGGGATAATTTGAAGGATCACATCAGGCATCAGGACCCACCGTCTAGGCAATAAGCAATGAATGGGGAGAGGGGTAGCAATTTTGGGAATGTAAATCAGCAGAAAAATTTAAAAAACGGGAAATATAAAGAAAAGTTTAGGGATTCAGGGAACCAAGTAGCAAATCTGAAAAGCAGAAAATTTGGGACTTGGGCAACCAGAAAAAAAGTGGGGCAGGAGAAAGTATGCAGAGCTTTCTGCTTTCTTTTCCTTATTTTCCATTTCTTTTTAGCCAATTCTCTATCTCCTGACCTCTGCAAAAGTAGACTTTGGTGTCAGAGGTCGTGAAATACAAAATAAGCAGCAAAATAAAAATAACGGGGGGAACCAGTGTCAACAAATATATATATTCTTTCCTTCAATTAAAGTGCAGTGTACATCTTTGACATATGTGTTTGAGGAAATTTTCCATTTGGAGCTTTCTAGTGGTTAAGAAGATTGAATTAAGAGAACTGATTATGAAAGTGAGAATCGAGCCCAAGTAATATTAGACCTTTTATTGAAATAACTGAGGAAGAACCTAAACAATTTATTAAGCCTTGGATCTAATATATTGGTGTTCACATTTTACCATGAAAAATAAGAATGTTTAAAGTTTTTGTATGTATCTAAAGTGTGAAGGATGTATCCCACACAAATTTGTTCAATCTTCAGATCTGATCTTTGATGCTCTCTGAGCTTATATAAAAATAAGAGCAAACCCCACTCCCTACTAGCACTGATGATGTTACCTAGTTTGGTAATGAAACGTCTGCAAGAAAACCACCAAACTCAGAGGACCCCATAGTTCAACCCTGAATTACAAATATTATCTTCTTTTGATTCCTTCCACTATCTTATCTAAATCTTTAGTAGAAATATTAATGATTAGAGAGGCCCAAAATTGAACTGTTTGGCACCCCATCCCACTTAAATCTTCATTCTACTTATGTTATGTAAAAAATAAAGATATGTCTACCACATTTCCCACAATCAGTTAAATAAATAATCTAATAAAAAATTAAATAAGGAAAGTCTAGCAAGACTTCTTCTTGAGACATCCATGCTGACCAATGTTATCAAACTATTTTATAGAAGACTCTCTCCTCAGAGCTAAAGTAATTTTATTCCAATGCACATTTGACCCTTCAATTGGGTTAGTTTAGTTTTAGGTATATTTAATGATATTTATTAATGTTTTTAATAATATGGCTTTTACATTTGTTTATTAAATGTCCAATCGTAGACCAAAACAGCAATAAGAATTTAAATAAACCAGATAAAATAAGCAGCAGATTAAAAAATCTGTAGGAAAGAGGAAAAAATGGAAGATAATAGCATTATTGTATATAATAGTCATAGATAAAAAGGTCCTCTAGAACAGGGCTTTTCAACCTTTTCACATATTGTACCACTTTTAGGACATGACAGTATTTGAGTACCACCAGTGCTTAGCAAGGTGTCAAAAATTTGATGATAAAAAAAGGGGCAGGGATTTTGGGTTTTACTGATTAGATTCATTTGTTGTTATAGAAATGGCTAGTTCAGTGGTGGCGAACCTATGGCACGCGTGCAGTGGCGGTACTCAGAGCTCTCTCGGTGGGCACGCACACCATTGCCCCAGCCCCGCCTCCCCCCATGGGTCCCTCCTCACTAGCAGCCCCCCTTGAGGAGAGTCACCCTGAGCGCGGCCCCATGAAGCAGCATAGCCAACGTCATGGCAGCCAGGCAGCAGGGACAAGACTCCTCCCTCACGCCCCGTCATGCGTAGACTCAATTAAAGGGAGTAAAACTAATTACATTTGTTTAAAGGGATTAAACCTTTCCGTTGTCTTTTTTTTCCTTTTCCCGCCCAAACCACCTCCTTTTATAGCCTTTCCTCTCCTCTCCCCTCTTTTTCTTCAGTTCACCTCCAGCTCCGGAAGCGCCAATCAGCTGGAGCCAATCAGCTGGAGCCTTGCCAGCTCCTGGGGCTTCTGCCAAGCCCAGACAGTCCTGCAGTTGCAATTGCCTCTCCCTCAGGCTTGGATTGCTTCGGCTCATTTCCCTTCCCCACTACACTTCTCTAGGACAGTCGCATACCACCTGCCACATGGTAAAGTACCACAGGTGGTATGTGTACCACCGGCTGAAAAGCCCTGCTCTAGAACTTCTAGAGCCAGAATAGGAATCAAAAATTATAAAATTAGAGCACAGCATGTAATATCATCCTGACGAATCAGCAAACTATAAAAATACCTTGTTGACCTATTAAAGCAGACTATGCAGTGCATTTCAAAGAATCCCAAATGCTTTGACATATGCTTTCAAAAATCAGTGCAGTCTTCTTGAAATTTCTTGGAACCAGGTCCACCTCCACGTCTGCGTTTAAATGTGGAAACCAAATTCTCTTCTGTTTGTTCTTGAGGTAAAAGCATGCTAGTAAGCAAAATAGGATCCTTTTTATGTTCCACTTCATAGAAAGGGCAAGTTTTCAAGTGTACAGCTATGGATGGAATATTGCTGAGTTGCCACTTATTGATAGTGGAGAACAGGGTGCTAAATTTCCAGATCTAGCAAAAGAGATGAACAAAAGATAGTAAGAAAATATTGTGATAATAAGATCTTGCAAATAGCTCTTCCCTATATGAACCAAAGGAAAGCATGGACAATATTTGTATACTCATTATTTCACTAACTTTGTCATGGTAAAAACAGGAAAGTGTTTATGTATTTTATTTCTTAAATTTATGTGACCACCCAACTCATAGAAAGAATAAATACTCTCTGATTTTTTTAAAAATGAAAGATATCATCAATTATAGGAGTTAAATAACTCTTTGATTTTAACAGAATAGTTGTGGGCTTTAATGCTTCTAAGAGAAGCTAGATGTATGCACAATAGAAGATATCTTATCTCTATTGTGGCTAGAATTGCAAAGAGTTAGAGATTATAGATTTGATCTACTTAAGTCAATACCTTGCATTACACTTTGTTAACCAGATCTTCCAGCCTTCATAGAATATTCTTTCTTTTGCACATAGACATTCTTTTTGTTTGCATTTTTTCCTAGTATCTCATTCCTTGCTATCCAAAGTTAAGGCAAATGACATAGATGATACAAACATTGTAGATCATGTACCTCTGAAAATAGCCTCAACCCACAATAATTTGCATACATTTTACAAAGGGTCTTGAATGTATCAATCACTTTTATTATAGACTAGCTGTACCCGGCCACGCGTCGCTGTGGCTCTCGTTCACTCAGCCAACAGATGGCGCTGTTTTTCAAAAAAAGCATGTTTTTACCTGTCACAGGTGTGACATCTATATAATTGTAGGTATATAAAAACACGTGCGTATTCGAATGCAACATTGTGTCAAAATTTCAAAGCAATCGGTGAAGAACTTTCGGAGATTTAAGATTTTGAACAAACGAACATTTACATTTTTATTTATATATAGATGTAACAGGAGATGGTAGAAATTTTCATTTCAGCAGACTCAGTTTCATTGCTGATTTTGGAATGGAGTACAAGTATTTATTAAAAGTTTTATTATTGGATACATTTTTCATAAAAAGCAGCAAGATTATTCAAAGTTAAATTTTGAAAGGCGAAAATTAAAGGATTGTTAACCCTATTAAAGTTTAGCCCCACCCAGTGGTGAGATTCAGCCAGTTCTCACCACTTCGGCAGAACCGGTAGCTAATTTTTTTGTTGCCCAAGCCCAGAATGGACTTCTGGAAGCGGCATCCACACAGAGAACCAGTTGTTCACATATGTGAATCCCACCACTGGCCCCAACCATATTTTCAGCAATATAGATCTGTGGTTTCTGCTAAATATGAGTTTAACAAGTTGTATGCTGCCTAAACATAACTCTATAGCAGTGGTTCTCAACCTGTGGGTCGGGACCCCATTTGGGGTCGATCGACCATTTCACGGGGGTCGCCAAGCAAGGCTGTCCGCCATTTTTTTTGTCCGCCATTTTTTTCCCTTTTCCGGCGGATGCCTTACCTCCCTTGGGCTGGGCTAGCTGGTGGTCGGCCTGCTCCGTCTCTGCCGCTTGCCAGCTACGCCTCAGCCGGCACAGGGGGCGGAACCACGCATGCGCGGCGCTCCCGGGCAGGGAAAGTCCTCGACTTACGACCGGTTGGGTAGTCCTCGACTTACGACCGGTTTAGTCCTCGACTTACGACCGGTTTAGTCCTCGACTTACAACCGGTTTAGTCCTCGACTTACGACCGGTTGGGGTCGCGGCATTAAAAAGGTTGAGAACCACTGCTCTATAGGGTTTCCTGCCTGAGCAGGGGGTTGGACTAGATGACCTCCAAGGTCCCTTCCAATTTTATTGTTATTATTATTATTAAATAGTATTGGAAAGAGGGAGAGAATTTGGGATTACCAGAGGTATCACAGAATCAGATTACTAACCTCAGTTTGTGTTTTCTCTTCAAGACATTGTGGCTGCAATTAAATATATAGAAGTGGGAATGCATTTGTTCATGATTGTTTTCTAACTAATTGATAAACACAATATAATAGGTGTACCTCTTGTTCTATTGGCAGAATATACCAAAGCTTTTTTCTACTTCAGTGAGGCAAATGACATAGAACCACCTACTTTGTCTGTTCTAATTCTGTTTCTTTGATAAATGCAGATACTAAGATCTTTAGAGCTACCAGAGTCCCTAGACTGTAGTGGATTCTTCCCAGGCTGGATTTACTTGGAGATCATCAATGCTCTGATAATGTTAGATATTTAATGATATAAGTGCTTTAGCTCAAAACACTAAAAATCCAGGACCTATTTTTTTTAGATGTTGAAAAAGAATTTTTATATGATTTCTTTAAAACTCTTGGACAAGTACTGGTTTAACATGGATATCCATATTTTTATAATCTGCACTGAGTTTTTTAAAAAAAACCTCTAGGGAAAATGTTATGTTACTCCAGAATTAGAGATTTTATTCAAACACTAGATGTTGACTATTGCGCTTGTTGTCAGGAAGACTATGCTATCTGTGGTATCTGTTGATAAATAAAACGTTCTCTATAGGAATAAACATTTTTATTTTAATGTGATTCCAAGGCACATATTTTATCTATATAGCTACCATCTGAAGTTGATTTAACAAGTTGTTGGTTAAATGCTTTAGTTGAGATGGTTGGGAGTTATAGTAAAATTTCTAAATAACTTTAGATATGGATGTGGTATGTTAATATACTTTTTATATGAATGTTCGTATTTCCTTAATTCAAATTCAAAGTATATAATTCTTTGGATTCATGGAGGATCTAAATACGATCCAACTTGGAACTAAAGAGAAATTTCCTGACAGTGAGAATAATTAACAATGGAACAGCTTACCTCCTGGAGTTGTGGGTATTCCATTACTAGAGGTTTTCAAGAAAAGATTAGAAGCCATTTGTCCAGGATGGAATAAAGTATCCGCTTGGGCAGGAGGTTGGACTAGAAAATCTCCAAGGTCTCTTACAGTCCTATGATTCTATGATCCTTACTGCAGATGTTATCACCTAGCCAGGTTTGCAATAGGATATATTGTCCCTCAGATTGTCAACCTCTAAGTCATTTCATGTTTCAAGATTAACTATAATGCACTGTTCTACCTGTGAGAAAATTGATAATCAATGCAGACTTCCAATTATAAATATCATATGATCCTTGAACTTTGCACCTGTTAACTATCTAGCTGCCTCATTTTACACCAGTGGAAACTTCTGACATTTGTAAAAACATTCCTAGGTATTGTACACTAATAATCCAAAGATGTAACCAAAGCATATTCTTGACTCTTTCAGGGACGTTTACAGCTGGTACTGTAGTCATAATTACATAAAGATGCTCTTCACCCCAGCTGCCAATTATGTTCAGTGAGAGATAACAATCAAAGAACACTGCCATGCTGCATATCTATTCTTTCTGAGGTAATATATCACCACACAAAATAGGATGACACTCAGTTTCCATGTTCAGCTCCTACTGACCAACACCAATCCATCTTGCTGGATTTAATTTCAGCTTTCTTTTTCTAGGCTATGGTGTGGAGATTTTAACTTGACTTCTTTCTGGGAGAGAATCGGTGACAACACAGGCATTCATGGTCAAGCCACATTTTAAATCTGGTTTTTATCTCGGAGAGATGCAAAATACCTTAGACTGGGGACATCTTGAAGGAAGTAGTGATTTACCCTTTTTTCATGAAGCCATTAATTTCCTTTTATAAAGAGGGTTGATGAGAATATCTTGGACTTCCAGTTGCAGAGACCCCTGAAAAAATGACCTGGATATTTTTAAACCTGGTCAATTGTTTATTCTTTGGGCAGGAAGTTTGAATTTGAACTTACAGTACTTAGCTTGCATCCAGTAATGATCCACATGTGGATATGCGATTGGAGGTTCTATGGGTCGGTCCATCGCAATAGTCACATTTTGTATTTTGTCATAATTGAAATTGCTAACATTTTACATAGGCAGTACATTTGGAAAACTTTTTTATAATAATTTGGAAGCAACGCCCAAGATTCTGCACTACACAGCAGCACTGGAAATATTAAAGATTGATAGAAGTGCTTTTGCTAGCAATGCTAATGCTGTTTTATTTGCCAGAGACATCATATCAGTCCTCCAAAGGCTGAGGCAACCTGGCTGATTTGATTGTTGATACCAGCTATGGCAGTGGTTGCTTTTCGTTCTTGGACAAATGAGCTGAGATATTGAAATTGTTCAGCTTGCTCAATCTGAACTTCATTAAAGTGGATGATTGCCTGAGAATCCTCAGTTATGAATATTTTGGTTTTGTCAGTATTAATGGTTAAGCCATGTGGATCAGCAGTTCTTACATCAAACCAAATGCCATAGGCTTCTCTTTCAACCTCTGTAAAAAATCACCCTATCATCAGCAAACATGAAATCTATGATGAATTCCTTGTCCAAATTTTATATTATAATTGGGCTGTTGGTTTGATCTCTGAGCTTGGCGATTTAGCTGCAAATGTTTCGTCTCCATTTGGGGGAACATCTTCAGTGCGCTTTGAATTGTACAATTCATAAGTGTTGCCACTTAGCTCAATGGAGCTGTTATCACATTGTTTTATCAGTTAATTAAAAAGAAAAATATTTTCATTTATCAAATTTTAAAATCGCCCATATCCCTCACAAAAGGACTCTGGAAAACAATGTTAAAAGACAGGGGGAGGGCTTTCAAGGTGCTAACCAGCCCCATGCTGCTTGCCCAGAATTACACAATACATAACTGTTTGTCACTGAGATAAAAAAAATGGAGATTGGAGTCTGTTACATGGCAGAGAAGATTACCTCATGAACTGAGGGCAGAATCTGATTGTGCTGGTACGTGGATTACAAAATTCATCAATTATGAAGTAAAAATAAATGCAAAAGAATGGAATTGCCTATAGTTTGGCCAATCATTTTGAAATTTGGAGACTCTGTGACCCTTCATTTGAGAAGTTTAAGTCAAATCAAGGATAATAAAAAAAGTTTCTTCCAACACATTAACAAGAAAAAAGTCAAGGAAACTGTAGGCCCACTAAAGAGAGAAGATGACAAGGAAATTACAGGCAATGGAGAAAGCAGAGCTGCTCAACTCATACTTTGCATCAGTCTTCGGACAAAAAGAAGCTATAGCCCAACATAACAAAAAAAAACCACTGCAAAAGACAAACTAGAAACAAAAATTAAAATAAGCAAGAAAATGGTAAGAAAACACCTATTCGACCTTGACAAATGTAAATCACCAGGACCCGACAGATTACATCCCAGAGTTCTGAAGGAGCTGGCAGATGTTATCTCAGAACCATTGCACCACATCTTTCATAAATCCTGGAGCACCGGGGAAGTACCTGAGGATTGGAAAAGGGTTGATGTGGTTCCCATTTTCAAGAAGGGAAAAAAACGGATTCAGGAAACTACAGACCAATAAGTTTAACATCAATACTTGGGAAGATCCTAGAAAAGATCTGTGGACAACTAGAAGCAAACAAAGTTATAACTAGCAGCCAGCATGGGTTTGTTAAAAACAGATCATGCCAAACCAATGTTATTTGATTCTTTGATAAAGTGACTAAACTAGTAGCCCAGCAAAATGCTGTAGACGTAGTATACTTAGACATAGTATACTTAGATTTCAGTAAGGCATTTGACAAAGTAGACCACAATCTACTGCTGGTAAGCTAGAAAAAGGTGGAATAGACAACATCACCACCAGATGAATTTGTAGCTGGCTGACAAACCGTACTCAATGAGTAGTCCTCAATGGTACTACATCCAATGGAGAGAAGTAAGCAGTGGGGTACCACAAGGCTCTGTCTTAGGCCCAGTACTCTTCAGTATCTTCATCAATGACACCTAATCTATACCTATATCTTTGATTTTTCCTGCCTAAATGTAAAACTTTGCTTTTCTCCACATTAAAACTCATTTTGTTGGATAGGGCCCATTGTTCCACTTTGTCAAGATGTTTTTGAATTCTGAGCTCAGATGATTAAAGGCCTGGAGACTAAAACATACGAAGAACGGCTGCGGGACTTGGGTTTGGCTAGTCTAAAGAAAAAAAGAAATAAGGGCGACATGATAGCATTATTCCAGTATTTGAGGGGCTGCCACCAAGAAGAGGGAGTCACGTTATTCACCAAAGCTCCACAGGACAGGACAAGAAATAATGGTTGGAAACTGATCAAAGAGAGAAGCAACCTGGAATTAAGGAGAAACTTCCTGACAGTGAGGACAATTAACCAGTGGAACAGCTTGCCTCCAGAAATCGTGAGCACTCCATCACTGGAGATTTGTAAGAAGAGGCTAGACAGTCACTTGTCTGAGATGGTATAGGTCCTCCTGCTTGAGCAGGGGGCTGGACTAGAAGACCTCCAAGGTCTTCCAGCTCTATTCTATTCTAAATCCTATGATCATGCAATTCGGCTTGTCACAGGATTGTTTAAACTATAGTATGTGCATGCTTAACTAAAATTACAGGTAGTCCTCAACTTACGACCACAACTGACCTCAAAATTTCTGTTATTAAGTGAGACATTTGTTAAGTGAGTTTTGCCCCATTTTACAATCTTTCTTGCCACAGTTGTTAAGTGAATCATTGCAGTTGTTCAGTTAGTAACCTGGTTGTTAACTGTATCTGGCTTTCCCATTGACTACTTGTCAGAAGGTCACAAAAGGTGATTCCCATGACCTGGGATACTGCAAGTCATAAATATGAGTTAATTGCCATGCGTCTGAATTTTGATCACATGATCATGGAGATGTTGCAACTGTTGTAAGTGTAAAAAATGGTCATAAGTCACTTTTTTCAGTACTATTGTAATTTTGAACAGTCATTAATAATTGTAAGTTGAAGACTACCTGTACTTTGTAATGCTAAAAATATGCATAACCTAGAAGCCAATATAAGTATCTCTTTGTCTTTCTATTTGGATAATTCTGCTGTAATTTTCGGGACCCCCCAATACTTGCCTTTCCACAGACTCTCCATAATGTTCTTCCATGGGAATATCTCTTCTTTTTCCATAACAGAAAAACCATTCCTCTTTCGTGCAGCAGAGTAGCACAGATATCCCTCATCTGTACTGACACCTGAGCCAGCTGAGACAAGCTAACACTATCCAAAAATCCAGCAATGTACTTCAGAATCTCCAAGGGAAGACTAGTTAGAGCCATCCTTTCATTCCTTTGTCTACTTCTTATAAAGTTACTTTTCTTGGCTTCTGAGAGCACAGGGTCAATCTCTGGCTTAACAGCAAATGCCATAAGATGCGGGTTGTAGATAACATTTGCCTTTTGCCCAGGAGGATGCCAAGGATATTGAACAAAAGTGCATCCCAAATAGGCAAGTGGGCAGCGACGCTGGAACCACCCATCTAGGGAGGACTGGATATCTGCATGAACATTCTTGAAATGTGAAGAAAACTCATCTCTCCTAAAAAAGTGGTTGCAAGAGAATGTAAATGCAGAGCTGCTTTTGTTGTATCTCTGGGTTACACTCTCACTATGGAGCTGTAGATGGAGATCCAGTGGGTCTTTTGTAACTAAAATATCTGCTAGAACAGCTCTTGAAGAAAAAGGTTGGGCAACAAAGCTGTATGTTTGAGTGCCAATATCAATATATAAGGCATCAGTGGACTTGGTTTTAGATATCTCATGACCTTTTAGTTCCTTCTCAAGAGCGCACAACAGTGTAGTTTTTATTGTGTTTGATTTGGGAAGTTCTTTAACATCTATGTCCAACTCTGAAGTATCCAGGGATATGCTCTTACTTGGCTTTTTATGTGCCACAGGATCCCCAAGCTTTGTTCTTTTGCCACAGTAACTAAGTGGCGGCCTGAAGGTGGTCTCAGTCTTCAGTTCTTGAACTTCCAGGTTTCCATATACAAAGTCTTTTTCTCTGGGAGTGCAAGCAGGCATCTGACCAAAATGAATGAGCATCCTTCCATGGTGCACCAAGTACATGTTATACTCACCAACAGGAACTTCATTCTTCAGCCTCTCTAGCACTCCATCTTGCCAAGGAGCCAACCCTGTTTTTTCAGCTGCTAAATTGATTTGATGGATTTTGTTTTTTTCAATGCCTTCTGTACTGCTGGCTTCTTCCACAGTGCTACCAGAAGCATGTTCTTTATGTGGAGATCCACTTTCAGATGCATTTTTTGTATTGCTGGGCGACAGTTCTGCCGCTTGGCATGCTTTAAATTCTTTACTAAACATATTTTCCCAGCTTTTGTAACCAATCAAATCCATCCCATCTTTATTTTTTGCCAGATTTTCAAGTTCCTGCTGAGTGAGCACAGCTGCCTCAGCTTTATTTGCTATGCTCTGCTCAGCAATTCCTCCAACAGCTTTTTCTTCAAAATAGTCAATATCATCTGTTGTTTCTTCCAGGCTACCAGCCCCTCTGCATTCTGGGAAGAGCTCAGCCATTTTGAGTGCTTTAAAGAGAGCTGCCTGATCTCTCAGAGCTATGGCTACATCCAGGCACTCTTCCTTGGGCTGTTGCTTCATAATGTTCTCATGAAGAATGGCTTCAGAATCTGCACATGGCCAACGGTTCCATTCCATAGAACAGGAAACTATGCTGGCAGGGCAAACTTGGAGATGTTTTGCCACTTTAAAACGGGCCATTGTAAAAGGGCAGCCATAAATAGAATTAAGGCATGAAACTTGTTCCAGGGGACACAGGAGTTTATGATCATCTTCTTTGCACATATGAAAAACAGCACCACAGTGAGAGCGGCAACTGATCACTACACATGAGACTGAAGGCTCTACTGGAGCTTGGCAGTATTTGTTGAAACACTTCTCACAGTGCTTATGTAGTCCAAGTGGAGTCCGCCATCTGCTAATCTAAAGGAAGGCAGGGGAGGAAAAGAGAAGCAAGTATTCAAAGCATTTAGGAACACTGAAACAATGTTTGAGGCTAAAAGGATTTTGCATGTTGAAATGCACAGGAACTATTTTACACAAAAAGAGTTTGGCAGATGACCAGCCACTTTCAAAATATCTGTGAGATGTAGCTACAGTTCTGTAAAATTTTAATATATAAATCAAGTAACAATTCCGGTTCATCCATAACCAATAAGAAAATTAAGGCTGTCTGAATAATTGCAAAACTTGAATTCTGAACCTATAGTGTTGAAATTTATTTCCCTTTTACCCAAGGGCCTTGACACTGAAGTGCTTGGTTACTTTCTCTTTAAAATGTGATTGTCAGCCTTCAATCAGTGAAGAGTTTCTGAAGCAACCAGTGTTTGACCAACACTTAATTGGAGAGAAATCAGGCCTAAACTGAACCTGCTTGGAAGCATATTATAGGTAGTCCTCTACTTACTACCACAATTGACCCCCAAACTTCCATTGTTAAGCAAGGCAGTTGTTAAGTGAGTTGTGTCCCATTTTATGACCTTTGCCACAGTTGATAAGCAAATCTGTGCAGTTGTTAAGTGAATCATGTGGTCCTTAAGCAAATCTGACTTATCCCATTGACACTGCATGTTGGAAGCCAGCGGGGAAAGTTACAAATGGTGATCACATGACTTTGGTACAGTGCAAATGTCATAAATACCTGCCACTTGCCAAGCACCCAAATTTGATCACATGACCGTGGAGATACTGCAACAGTCATAGGTGTGAAAACTGATCATAGGTCCCTTTTTTCAGTGCCATTGTAACTTCAAACAGTTTGTGATATATTTTCTGTTTTTCTTCTCTACGTAGCACTTAAGACAAAAATAATCAATGCTGCAAGTGTACTAATATGTAAGTGGACTAGTTGAATGTACCAGTGGATAATTTGGGAAGAAAAGAGAATAAGCACAAAAAAAGTAGATAAGAAAACAAGAAAATGTCTTAATTGTCCTCTTAACTAATTAAACAACTTGAAATAGGTTATTTTCTCTAAAATATTTCATCTTTCCAAAGCTGAAACAAAAAAATCTGAATTTATACCCGTAAAAATTTAAAGCTTACTTTGTTTGAAAAGGACAGTGATATAAACGTTTTAACTTTTTTCTATATTCAGATCCTAAGAGCTTTAATAACTGTACGCTATCTTATGGGTTTGGGATTTTTCTTTGTAAAATATAGTCTCTAAGCCATGATTGACTCTTGACATCTTGACATCTTCAGGGATCTATCAGACTGTTAGAAAAATATTCTAATATCAGCAGTTTAACAGTGGGATGCTGTATTCCAGATAGTGATAGGTTCCCCTTTTCTCCAGTACAGGAGATGGAGAATTCACCAATGGGTTTTCACTGCCTGCTCTTGAGACCAAGTAGCCAAACTTGCCACGCTCCTCTTGCTAGGAGATCCAGTCTTAACGGTCTCCGCTCTTACAAAACTTGTTTGACTTGGCTCTCGTCTCAGCAGGTTAGATAAAGAAACACATTGGTGAATTCTCCCTTATTTCATTGGCAAATTTAAATTAATCTTCCCTTAATCTTTCCCCACCATTGCTGAGATCAATTCTGATCTCAAAACTTTTTAAAAGGGTGGGGGGGTGTAGGTGGGGAGGGAACTTTCCTGCCCCATTCCCTTCTCCCTTTCCCAGGGCCCTGGGTGGGTGGGGGGTGTTGAAGGCATCAGCAGAGACTGCTTGCTGCGCCTTCTCCCCAGCCTCCCCAGCTTTCAGCCTCACATTTGGGGCAAATTGCAGCCTCCTGACTCGGATTCAAGCCTGAATCCGGATCGTCGGAGGCTGTATAAGCAGCCCAGAGCCCTTGCGGACGCCATTTTGGCCGCCTAAACTCCGGTTGCAAGCCCGTTCGTTTCAACTCGAACGAAACAACCGGTGGCTGTTGGGGGCTAATTTGGCCACCAATTAAGGTTAAAAGCTGTTCTGCTTCCCTGGGGAGCTCAGGTCCCCACGCTGAGGCAGCGGAACGGTTTAATTACCGTCTAAAAGTTGCGGCCGCCATTTTGAATAAATTTAAAAAAAATAAAAAAAAATAAAAAAAATAAAATAAAAAACAACAACAGTGGGGGCGGAGATATTAATACCCGGCTGCAAATAGCATCCCAGCTAGGCAGCAGGACCCCTTAATTTCCCCATTTAGTGCTCCTGGCTCGAGTACTTAAAGCTCATTACAGCAGGGGCAGCCATCTTGTACTCCACGTGGAGTCCTATTCGGGCCTATCAGGCCTAGCAGCAGTGTTGAAGGCAAACGGGGAGGAAATCACCATCACCCCTTCTTTTTCCATCGGTTAGCCGCCACTTCAAATTGATATTTCAGCTCAAAAATATATATTTTTTTAATTGCTTGCAACCTTTTCTTACTGGTGCACATTGCCTGGCCACCTAAGGCCTCCGGGCGGAGCCCAGAGAGTGGTTCCAAACGTGCCTTCGGTACCTGCCTCATCCACCATGACCATAGCCCAGAGAGAATTTTTTTCTTATTGGTTGGGTGGTCAGGGGAGCAGTCTTGGTATTTGCTCCAATCTAGCTTCTGCCAACTACTTGCCCGCCTGAGTTTCTTCTCAGTCTTTTTGCTGGGATTACTCAAGTGGGATGGAGGGATCCCCGTTGCCTCAAAATTTGGGCACGCCCTCTCCATCACCCAATTACGGCTGCACCAAACCTTCTGAACAGAAGGCGGCGGGCAAGTGCAAAGCTAAGACCAAACATACACAAAAGAAGGCATCCAAGTTGGCAGAAAAGCAAGCCAGCCGTAGGCACCAGGCTCTTGAGAAGGAATTCTCTAGAGCACAGAGGCAGGCCCAATTGGACATGGATCAAATGGCGGCTACCGAGATGGAACTCCCATTGGGCCCATCAACATCAACCCAGGGGGTGTGGTCTCTCCCGGGAATGCCGATCACATTGGGTTCACCCTCTACATCGGCTCAGCAAGTGACATCGGTCCCAGGAACTGTACCTGAATCCACATTTACGCCCACGGCCGCTGGACTCAGGGGTCCTGACATTGGAGATATTTTCTCCGACGGACGTTTGGAGGCCTTACTAGCCAGGGTTGTGGACCGTGCTCTGGCTCAGCGCTCTGTCCATCCCGATCAGGAGGCCTCCACCTCGGCCATGCCACAATACGAACTGCCTATAGAGATCCCGGCACCCCAGGAACCTGCCTCTCCCGGCCAGTCCTCCATGAGTGGGTATTCCTCCCCTCAAGCAGAGGAGCATCCAGAAATCACTCTGTCAGAGGATGAGGAACTCCCCCCTGAGCCCTCTCCTTCAGGGGGTCTTTTTAATTCCAATCTATTCCTCACAATACTACGTAAGGCCACCATTACTGCCAATCTAGGGGCGGAACAGTTCCCTCAGCCGCAGATGGCGTCGGACAACTCACCCAGACCAATATTTGTTCAAAAGGTGGCTACTGAACATCATGTGCCATGTCCTTCTATGTTTCTGACGGGGATTAAGAAACCATGGGAATCTCCCTCTTCTTTTCCCTCGGTGAGTGGCACGGACAAAAGAATGTTCAGTACCTCCAAGGATCTGTCTGATGCTCTGGAGGTCCCCAAGGTGGATGAAGCCTGGACCCCCCTGGTTTCCCAAACTGCCATTGCTGGGGACCTATCGGAGGCATTGAAGGCTGATGACAAGAGGTGGGAACAAACATTCCGCAAAACGCATCAGTCGACGGCATGGGCCATTAAAACAGCCACTTACGCTTCATTCTTTGTCCGGACCACCCTACTATGGTTGCAACAACTTCAAGCCAGAGTCCCTATTGAGGACATTCGGACTCATCAGGACCTGGCAAAAATGGTAGCAGCCACGGAGTATGCTGCGGACGCCACTCTCCAATCGGCCATTTTCTCTTCTAGGTCCATCGCATCCAATATAATTTCTAGAAGGATGTTGTGGTTAAAGCACTGGCAGGCTGACACCAAGGTTAAGTGGCGCCTAGCAACAGCCCCTTATTTAGGCACCAATTTATTTGGAGAGGCACTAGCACCTTATCTAGTTGAAAATAAGGATAAACGCAAGGTGATGGCCCATTTGAACAAGAAATCCGAAAAACGCCCCATGCCTTATTTTCAGAGACAGTCCTTTCGACAAGCGTCGACTACAACTGTCAGCCAACCCCCCAGACCATATGTCCCTAGACAGGACAGACTGTATGACCGCCCCTATGACAGACCAGGGTTCCGTTCTAGGCAACAGAATCAGCCAAAACGGCCATTTCGTGGAGCAGGTCATTCCTATCGGAAGGCCAAGTGACTCCTACTCAGATCTCCCAATCGGAGGAAGGCTAGCCCATTTTTTCCACCAGTGGGAACAATCCTCCACAGACAACTGGGTACTACAAACCATACAATCCGGGTTGTCTCTGGAATTCTTAACCATACCTCCGGACCGAGTTACAATTTGCGCAGTCTCTCGGGACTCCCTCAAACGCAGGCTCATGCAGGAGGCCATCCAACACCTATTGGACATTCAGGCCATAGAACCGGTTCCAGCAGAATACAAAGGCCGGGGGTTCTATTCCATTCTCTTCGTGGTTCCCAAGGCCTCAGGAGGATGGAGAGCCATCCTGGACCTCAAAAATCTCAACCGGTACATAACGTACAAAAAATTCAAGATGCAATCTCTCCAGTCCATTCTGGGAGGCATCAGACAGGGAGATTTCCTGGCGTCGATAGACCTTACGGAAGCCTACCTTCACATTCCAATTCATCCAGCTCACCGCCGGTTTCTACGCTTTTGTTACCATGGCAAACACTTCCAGTACAGGGCCCTCCCTTTCGGCCTTTCCTCAGCACCCAGGGTGTTCACGAAAGTACTAGCAGTGGTAGCCGCACAACTGAGAAAAATCCCAGTACGCGTCCAATGC